GCCCGCTGATGGCGGCTTCCGGGTCGATGCTGGAGAGATGTCTTCCCGATCCTACTTCTCCGGTCCGCTGATGACGCCTTCTGGGTCGACTTTCTTGACGAGGGCCAGATCTGTCCTGATGTCGTCTAGGGTCCTCGCAGGTGTTTTCCCGACCGCACACTGGCTCCAGTGGTACCAGTTGTCTCCCTTTCCTTCTAGGCGGACGGCATGGGAGGTCCTTTGGGTCACTCGGTAGGGGCCTGGGGTTGAGCCACTTAGGCCTGATGACTTTCAGCCAGACAAACTCTGCTGTGTTGGCCTCGTGTTTCTCGGGTCCCCCTTTGGCGTCAGCAACCTGTGTGGAGAAGTCTCATACCGAGCCCTTAAGTTGCTGGAAATATGGTTTTGAACTCATGACCTCTACTTCCTTTCCTACGCTCAAGGCTCCGGGGCCTGGGAACTGATGGCCGTGGGTCAACTAAAAAGGGGAGAAACCTGTCCCTCGGTTAATAGAGCTTCTGATTGACATAAGAGCTAGGGGTAGTGCATCTAACCAGTTCATGCCTGTTTCATCACATGCCTTGCTGAGCTTCTTTAAGCATGGATCTTATCCACCCTGGGGGCAGGACAGGTCTCCCATCTGGGGAGAGCCATATCCCGTCCTTCTTGGTAGCTCCCCTGTCTAACCATACTGATTTATCCTGTGAGGAGCCTTCTTCTTCTTCTTCTTTAGTGTTTATTGGCGGTTGGCAAACCAACTTGTAGGTGCATTACCGCCACCAACTGGACTGGAGTGTGGACAAGAGACTATGCAGAAAACAATAAACAAAAGAAATAAAACCAAACCAAACAAACAAACAAACAATCAAAACAAAATAAAACAAAAAAAAGAACCAAAACTAGGTTATTTTAAATGTATCAATTTCTCTTAAAAACATAATAATCTCACATACATATTGCCTGATGTTTTTTCCTAACAGTCCTGATAGCGACAAGTCATGGAATGTTGCTTTCTTCAGTGTCTGGAAAAGCACATCTCTCTGAGTACTATATTTCTTGCAAAGCAGTAAAGAGCCTGCTTCCTGTGCTTCTTTAATGGCGCATTTCCATTGCAGCGCGTAGCTCGCTTTAAGCGTGCCGTGTCGTGCCGTCCCCTTTTTTGGTTGTGCTTCCACTAGGCCTCGTTCCGGCGCGGCACGGCGCGGGGCCACTTTTTCCCCTCTTTTCTGGCCCTAGAAAATTGTGGTTCTATCGGGGCCAACAAACAGGGCTGAGTATGCTAAACTAGAGAGAGGAGCGCTGGCAAGAGGGCTAGAACTACAACAAGATGGACATATTTGACCGTGATTTAATTGTAATACACGTTTCAAAATGATGCCGAAGTAACAACATACTGATACCGGTTAGTAAAAACCATGAATTAATGCTTTGTCAAGTCTGCAGACAGACGGCAGGCGAAAAACCTTTTAAAATTCGTGTTTTTCTAGATGGAGATTGGCTAAGCTAACGCAGTATATGCCCCGACCGTCCACACTCACAACAACGGCCTATACAGACATAAATTAAGCAGCGACTGTATTCACCATGACACAGGCAGTCTGTGGTGTGTACTTGTTTAACTTTTGTCGAGTTTCTGAACATATATAAGGAGCTGTGAGCTCTGAGTGCTCACAGCTAACGGCTGTGTTGTGTTTCTGGATTTCTCATTGAAGATGACGTCACGGCTCCGCCTACACTGCGTTACTACCCAGTTCCTAAACTGTAATGGAAGCGCAGCATGAAGTGAGTCGGCCCTGTTAAGGCCCAACGCGGCCAAGCCGTACCGAGCCGTACCGAGTGTGGCCGAGGCCGACCGTGTAGTGGAAATGCGCCATAAGAGTGTCATCTGTTACGGCGGGCAGCAAGTCAGTGGACTTCATGACGAGCATTTGGAACTGTCAACTCTGTCCAGTGTGATACTTATGTACATCAGTATTGACCTACACCCCCCCCTTTTTCTGAAATAGAATGCCCTTAACGGTGTTCTCATTTTCAGAAATATCGAGCCTTATATATCAGTTATTAAATATCAGTTATATATTATTATTACTTATATATCAGTCATTAAATATCAGCCTTCTTCCATGATTGACTTCGTTTCTATTATCTGACAAGGTTGATATGTGTTCGCTTGTATTTATTTAATATACTGGACAATTCTTGTCTTTACTCTTAACGTCCTTATTGTATTTATTGGAATGCCCTGTCCGAAATTTAAAGTTTCCAGCGTGAAACAATACAGAATATTGTTACACACCCTGTTCGCCACCAGAGGGCAGCAGCTGACCACGAATGAGCTTCCCCTGTTTGGTGGAGCTCAGCACACTTTGTCTCCACACAACTCTACTTCTGCTGTTTTCTCTCAATTATTACACAGATTTGACGTAAAAAATCACACAGAGTTTATTCCCTTATACAGTCTGTCCGGCTTTTTGTACGATGTTTATTCCAACAGATAATTGCGGTTTTTAAGCGCACTTCGACACCCCTCTTTAGAGATGCGACGCTTACATGGAGTTTAAACCCAAACCACAAAAATCCTTTATCGTCACATTCAGCCTTCCAGATTATGACTTCGTACTATCTGAATTCTATCTCCGTGTACTACTTATTTTCTAAGTATGTACTGTGTACAGAGTGGTGTTCTTAAATTATGTTTGCAGTTTTACATATATTTATCCCCGTACAGTCAGGCAGATTTTTATTGTGCGATGTATATTTCAACAGATAGCGTGACTTCCTGAAGCAAGCTTCTACAACCCCCTTTCGGCGGCTGCGGCTTCAGGCAAGGAGTCGGAACCCAGTCAACAAAATCTCTTTATCGTCACGTTTAATGAGCCTGATTAACCCCACAGCAAGAGTTGTGATGAGATTCGGTCGTTCCAAATGGTTAGTTGGAAGTCGCGTATCTCCTCTCGTATCACCCACATATAACAATTCTAGCAATTTTCAAAGAGGGATTGCCCACTCGATTGTTATTCAATAGGAAGTTCTTTCTAACAACCTTTTACCCACGAGGCAACCGCATAATCCTTACTTGATTTGCGGGGACTTTAACCCATCTGTTTTTTACGTCCTCGCAGTCTACACATTTAAAGCACTAACGAGGCAACCGTATAACCCTTACTTGATTTACGGGGATTTTAACCCATCTGTTTTTTACGTCCTCGCAGTCTTTCTTTAGTGAGTTAAGGCACGGGACTTAGCTACCCGCCTCTTACAAACACGTTATAACTTATAATTCTCTTTGTGCCTTAGGTACAGGACTGCTCTACCTGACTCTAAGCACTTTCTTACTTAACTAGAATATGTATTGTATTCTTTACCGTGACTAAGAACACTGAGAACGCCGCTGACAACTCTAACATTTTGTAGTAAAGTCAATCACAGATTTTGGTAATCAAAAGAGGTGTCTGCTCACCTTTTGTATATGGCCATGGTTTAGTTGTCAGCGGTGTCAAGGTGTCCTCCCCTGGACTGAATTCCGTCCGCTGGCTGTCGGTGTTCCTTTCTAGAGACCAGCACTCATCACGTCGCAGGTCACCATAATTGTTGTAGCAAACACCTTGGTGGTGGCTTAAAGCCCACCTCCGCTACGCGCCGTTCGTTTGTGAGCCTGGTTATATTTAATAAAAGAAGGAATTCAAAACACCGGATTAAAGGTTATAACAATAATCTGATTTTACTGGTAAAAAACAAAACACTTATACAAGTTTACAGAGTACTCCAGACTTCCAGTTCGACCGCGGTGCGATACAGGTATCGGGACCAGCCAGTCAGAAACAGGAAGCATTTTACATACATAAACAACAGTATTCATATCCATATTTTGGGGCGGAGATGTGTTGACTCTTCCTTCCCATTTTACTCCGAAGCGAATCAGAGAGTCCGTGGGGAGGAGCTGTGTGAGCTGCTCACTCCCCCAGGTGTTTTTACTGGTTGGATTCACTTCTGGTCGGGTCCAATACAGCGAATCAGAGTTCTGGGAAAAAGTATGTTTTCTTCTGAGCAGAGCGTGAGACAAGGACAGAGTCAATCTTTATCACTCCTTTACTTTCCCAAGGAATATTTCACACAAACTATTCTTTCCCAGACAACCAAACATTGTACACAGATATATTGATGCCCAGAAAGGACCTTGAAAATAATATGTGTGTGTGCTGGTGGGAGGAGGTGTATGTGTGTGAAACAGGATCTCTGGGTCAGTGAGTTGTAAGTGAGATGGGATTACTTAAAACAGTTCAAACAATACATGTTTACTTCAATACAGTTTAGAACCATATGTGTGTGTGTGTGTGTGTGTGTGTGTGTGTGTGTGTGTGTGTGTGTGTGTGTGTGTGTGTGTGTGTGTGTGTGTGTGTGTGTGGGAATGTATGTGTTTCGTGTGTGTGTGTGTGTGTGTGTGTGTTTGTGTGTGTGTGTGTGTTTCGTGTGTATGTGTGTGTGTGTTTGTGTGTGTGTGTGTGTGTGTGTGTTTCGTGTGTGTGTGTGTGTGTTTGTGTGTGTGTGAGTGTGTGTTTCGTGTGTGTGTGTGTGTGTGTGTGTGTTTCGGGTGTGTGTGTGTGTTTGTGTGTGTGTGTGTTTTGTGTGTGTGTGTTTGTGTGTGTGTGTGTGTTTCGTGTGTATGTGTGTGTGTGTTTGTGTGTGTGTGTGTGTGTGTGTGTTTGTGTGTGTTTCGTGTGTGTGTGTGTGTGTGTTTGTGTGTGTGTGTTTTGTGTGTGTGTGTGTGTGTGTGTTTCGTGTGTGTGTGTGTTTCGTGTGTGTGTGTGTGTGTGTGGTCTCGTAATGTTTTATTTTTAATTTTTGAACACTATTCTCTTGGCCTTCCTCTTCTCTTTCTGTCTCTCCCTTTAATCTTCTCTCCCCCTCCTCCTCGCCCTCCTCCTCCCCCTCCTCCTCTTCCTCTCTCCTCCTCCTCCCCTCCTCCTCCTCCCCTCCTTCTCCCCCCCCCCCTCCCTGCTGTTTCTCAGGCTGCAGTATTT